CAGAGCACTTTCCAGGTACAGAGTCATGGCACAGCCTTTGGTATGAACCCCATCTCTGTAGACTATGAGTAGGCTGGGTGGAGGGGACGAATATCCGTAGAAACTAAATTTATTGGTGTTAATCGTGAATCGTCAGTTTGTGCAGTGACAGCACTTAATTCCTCAGCAAGGTAGCCTTTCCTAACACGCTGAGGAATTATTCTGTATCACTAGTTACAATGCACAAGCACTCTACACTGTTTCTGCCTTTTCAGCATGTGGTAGCATCTTTACACCATTAATCCACTTTTTGTGCCTTGTTAGTCCGTGCTGCTGCTTAGAGTGACAGGGTCACCTCCTGCCATTAACCCTCTCCTGTTCTCAACAACTGGTTTGCGAGTATCCAAGGTTAATTGGTGTCCTCTATAAAAGTTGTCACTGTTAAGCAGTGCTGCATGTCAGATCCCAAGCACAAGGGCAGCAGTCCCACTTCATCGGGTCTCTCCAGCTCACAATCTACTAAATTGTTCTGGGGTGACCTTCAATGTCCCTCATGGACATCTACAGCCTGGATACATGCCCCCTACTTGAGGCCACGTGCTCCTTGGAATCTCTCTTAAGGTGCCCATACACCTTACGAATATCGGCCGATTTTAGTATGCAAACGTGTTGTCGTCTGATATTCGTAAGGTTGATGGGCAGTGTACAACCACAAATACTATACAATCGATCGACTTTTGACTAACCAGCAGGTTAGAAAACTTTGCTCGAACGTACGATTTTCACAAGGTTGGTGGCGTTTCCGTACGTCAAAATTCGTACGATTTAGACTGCACATGCGCAGACGAAAATACGTGCAGTCGTTTACTGCAATTCATCCAGGTGCTTCATCCAGGTGTACAACAAAAAGTGTCGTCCGATGATCGCAAAGTGGCAGCCTCACCATCATCAGGTTTGGTTCCCCTTTCTGCCTTATCCAGGGAGCAATTCACCAAAGGTATGCTGGATTATATTGATAAAACCACCATCATTGCCGACTCAGAACGTAGAGGCAGTAATTACTCTTCTACGCCTTCCTCTCTGGAATCATTGACAGTGTGGCAGCAGTAGAAGCCTCTGAGCTTTCTGTGGATGCTCTAAGGAAGTCTCAAATCCCTTTTGGATGAGTTTGCTCCTGAGGAGCCACAATCTGCTGCCATACAATATAGGTTTTTTTATTGACAGGGTGCTATGCCCACTGTGGATCCAGCTATTTCCTACCTTAATAAAAACAGTAACCAGATCTATTGAGGAGGCACCTATGTAAAAAAAATGCTTGCTGAAAATGCCCATTGATGAGTCTCTTTGGTGCTTCTTTAGATAGCTTTACAAAAAGGACTGGCGGTAACAGTACTTATCTGGCCCAGCAGATGAAGTCTAGGCTTCAAACCAGGAAGAATCATCAACTATGAAGCCAAGAAAGATACCTTTACTTCCTCCTAGGCTTCACTTTCCAAGGCCAAACCCAAATTAGTGACCCAGTTCAAGCACAAACCTTGGCTCACTAAATCCCCCAAATATTTAGACAAGTGCTCTTCACCTTGAAGGGTCACACTCACTTTCCCAAGCAGGGTGTCTGTTGCTTTCTGCCGAGTTAGCCACAAAAGACATCTCAGATGCCTGTGTAAGATGTTGTGTCCAGGGGGCTACAAGCTAGAGTTTCACTATCTGCCTCACTTCATGATGCCCAATCTGCTTGCATCTCCACACAGACTAGTAGATCTCTATGCTGCTTTTGCAAATCTTTTAAACCAAGGAGCCATTACCATTGTTCCAACAGCAGAAAGGATTCATGGATTTTACTCCAATCTTCACTGTTCGAAAGCCAAGGGGGCATATGCAGGTAGTTTTTAAATGCCTTCATTTGGTTCCAAACTTTTTGCATTGAGCCCACCAGGTCTGATTCTAGCCTCTGTGTACACCAAGAATAGGTACTTACATGTCCCATCTATCCAACACATCAACACTACCTTCGTTGTACTCTGCGCACTCACTACCAGTTTGTTGCCCCATCATTGGGTTAGTCATCCAAACTCCCCCAAGTGTTCAGCAAGGAATTAACACCCATGCTAGCCTTTCTACGCTCCCAGGAAATTTCCATTGTAGAATATCTGGACGGTCCCCTTTGAGGTAGAGTTGGCTTAAAACCTGGCCAACAATGTTATGTGGATAGACCAAACCTTAAATGTACTGTTGGATTCTGGCTCTACAGAAAGCAGCACTAGAACAAACACATTGCTTAGAGTATTTGGGTATTATCCTAAAAATCTGACTTTCTGCTTCAAGACTGGCTACAGTCCAGGAGCCATCCAACTTTGCCTTTCTGCATGAGCGTTCTGGGCTTGAGTAACCCACCCGTGATCAAATCTCTGGCAGCAACTCCATGGGCTCTTATATATTGTCCGGAAGACTGCTTTATCAGCCTGCTTCAAAGTTGCTGACTGTTGTAACTCAGGTCTTGAGAAAGGTCTTCGAATCCCTCACAAAAAAAAAAAAAAATTATATAAAAAAGTATACCATCACATATGATTTTCCCTGGTGCTAAGAAAAAAAGTTTTCACCCAAGGAAATACTCCGTGGGAAGACCTGGATGAGCATTTTGCCTAAAGTATCATCAAAAGGGAAATTCTCCAGTTTAGCAATCTTATCCCAAAGATTGTTGGCCTCTCAACTAGCCAACCAGCCATGATCTGTGTACAAGGTGTCTAATATGGCTCGCCCCATACAACCACTTATGGGATTTGGCCCTGCCAGCACTTTAAAAAAATGCCTTTCCCCCCCAATCACAGGTTTAGTCGTAGAAATTTCTATGACTAAAGATGACTTTACAGCTATAGATTATCTGCAGACTTTCTATGGTCAGATGGAAAAAGTGCAACAGATTCCTCCATCTATGCTAAACTGTGTGGATGGAGAAATCTCCCACTGGGCCAAGCTTCAGTATCTTGCTAGTTGGCCCCGCTGGCTGTCAAAACACCTCAACAATCTGATTGGATGCAGGCATTGTTCAGGTGTTTTAAGAGCTAGCGGGCAAACTAGCAAAATACTGAAGCTTGGCCCAGTGGGTGATTCCTCCATCCACACAGTTCAGTGTAGATGGAGGAATCTGTTGCACTTTTTTTCATCTGACCATAGAAAGTTTGCAGATAATCTATAGGTGTATGGCCAGCTTAAGCCTGTGATTAGGTAGAACATGTCAGAGGGAGCAGACCTTGGGCAGGACACCAGTGAAGTGGTACAAGCTGCAATAAACTATTCTAGCGGAATCCGGTGTGCGGCCAGCTTTTGTTCGGTTTGTAAGAGTTCATATTGGAGTGAGGACGCACTCTCAGCAGCAAGCACCCAGCTCATTTCTTCCCTGAGACGTGGAGGAGAGGCTTATCTTTTAAAAACCTCACTTTACAGAATTTGTCCCCAAGTGCCTAAAGCTTTTGCACAGTATTCAAAATGGGAGAACACCTCCTTACCAGAGCTCCGGATAGTGGTAAAACCTGACAGGGTTCTAAACCAACCCCACTATCTAGTCCAAAGAATGACTGGACATATACTTTAAAGCTAAACTACAAATTAAACGATCTCCCAAAACAGTTACTTGTTAGCAGCGCCGCTTTATCCAATGGGCAAAGTGGGCAATTGCCCAGGGCCCACCACAGCCACAGCTTTCCCTTAGTGTTCCTTGAGGCCGCGCACATCGCACAAGCAGCCTCAAGGAAGTGCGTTTGCCTGAGCTGCCTCGTGTCAGATCACTCCACCAATCCACAGTGCAGCTGCATTGTTCTCACTTCGGCTCCGACGTCAGAGCGGGAGCGCAGCTGAGAATGAGACGCGGATGGTGCATGTGATAGAACTGGAAGCCTGTCACTGCAGACAATCTGTGAAAAAACACTCCCAGTCCTAACCTCAGCAGAGGAGCTTGTGCTTTACTGTGAGTGACCCTGCATGCTGCTGATCTATGGTACTGAGGCTGAGCAATAATTTATTATGAGAAGTTACTATTGCTGAGCAATGCAAAGAATAGAAACTTGTATTGTCGTAAAATAAATGATTGCTCAGTCATGTACAATCACTAGAAGTTATCATAATTGTATATGACGGAGCAATCATTTATCTCATATGACAATGCAATTTCCTATTCCTTACATTGCTCAGCAAATGGAAGGAATAGAAACCTGTAGGGATGAGTGTGTGGCCCTTAAGTTAGTAACTTAAATCGGCCATGTATGCTGATTGTTTGCATATGGCAGTGAGGCTGAGCAATTATTTTATATGAGAATACAAGTTACTATTCCTTACATTGCTCAGCAATGTAAGGAACAGTAACCTGCGGGGATGCACGGATAAGTATACTGGGCATTTGCACGAGTACTCATACTTGTGAAAATGCCGATACCGGCACTTTAATTTTTCAAATAGAAGTGGCTGCCTTAGGTTCCACACTTGCTGGAGACCTCGCGGCAGCGCAATCCGTATTTTCTAAGCAAAAAAAAAAAGCCCTTCTGAGACACTCCGCCCAAGACATCAGGACAGCGGGGCCTGATTAATATATTTTTTACCCAAGGCGCACCAGAGCCTTGAAATCGGCCCTGCTTGTAAGGCATGCCTCTGGTAATAACCGTCAAGGTTGCCAGAGTGTATAATTACAGCTCATAGCCATACTTTAAGTTCAGGTGTCATAACTGAACACATGTGCCGCACCATGGCAACACTGCAATCCAAAAAGAGGCTAAGATGGCACCTACCTTGGCTGTAAAAGATAGGAGTAGTTCCGCTTTAATAACTTGACATTCCTATTCAAGAGCATCAGAGAGCTGCGATTCACCTGATTCGCCTAATTTACTGATTTGTACACAACTGTTCATTGCTAGATTTTCTATCGATATTTGGATTGATCACATCTCAATACATACATATCTCATACTTAAAACCAGATTAATAATGCGTAAAGTGAAATTCTTCAAAACAGCAACAAGTGGTAGTCTCACCTGGCCTGTAATTCCTGTGACGAGTGCAACCTTCCTGGACTTGTCACCATTAGAAGGGAAGCCTGATCCATTTCCCTGACTGCACGCCATGCTTCACACTGTCGATTTGCTCAGAGAGGAGACTGGCTATGTGCTCTCAGCGATGTCTCAAGTCGCACTGAAGAAAAAGGAAGGGACGGGTAAGACAGGTTGAACAACAGGTGCCTCAGGAGTTAAAACTGAAAGGGCAGGGATGTGGGAGGATTAGGTGACTAGAGGTGCTGTACGCCCTACTATTCCAAAGACCAGGAAAGAACAATACAATAAGAAAGAAAGGAGTGGAAAATGTCAGTAAACGGTGCAGTGACACACATCAAAGGGGTGTGTTTCAGTAAATGTGTAACGAGCAAACATGGCTAAACACAGGTGCACATCCCATAGCAAGAAGAGCACAAACACAAAAGAATCAAGCTTTACAAAAGAAAACATCTACCATGAAAGTCTGTGCATCTTTCAGGCTCAAATGGAAGATTTATAAATATGTGACTACGCAGAAGCATACAAGATCTACATCAGCAACCTGCTAATTCACTATCTCTTAATACTGAGATTTATATGAACCTTCAGTATATAAGGTACAATGCAGCAGGTATAATGGCATTGAGCATGTCCTTGATTGCATAAAGGCATGTTAGAAAGCAGGAAGTGATAATTACTGAGTTGAAATGGGACGTCCAGGAAGCTGGCTTTTTGCCTTACTTCAGTATAGCTGCACAGAGAGGGCTGTGTGAGCAGGAAGAGGTACACAGTGCAAATAAAGCACTGATGATGATCAATTTATCTCCTCTAGTGGCCAGCTATTTGCTTCCTGTTTCGTCCATGAGATTGAATGCAGCGGCTCCACTGATAACCAACCAGAAGCTTCAGTTAACTCAAGAGTTCCTGCCCACTGTCCCTCCCCTCTGCACAGTCACACTGACACCGCTCAGGTTTCCGGCATTACATGGCAGCCTGTATGTATGAGCAGCGTGAACGCTCCCCGCACGTGGCCGCGACCCTCTTCAGGCACTGCGCATGTGCAGTCAACAGTGCACGCTGCCCGCGCTTGCTCACGGTCTCCTTCAGACACTGCGCATGTGCAGTCCATAGCGCGCGCTCCCCATCTCTGGCTCTGAATGTGATATGTACTGTTACATATTACTGTGGTGTGCTCTATACAAAGTAGCACATAACATTGGCGTACATGTAAAGACAAATGAGAAAGTTTACTACATGATAGTTTGCTTCCCTTCATAAATATAAGGAGGGGAATTTATCCAAACTGGAGCAGCTGCCCATAGTAACCAATCGGCTTCTGTCTTTCAAAAGCTTAACTGAACAAGCTGAAGAGAAATACTGATTGGATGCTATGGGCAACTGCTTCAGATTCTAAGAGTGGAAATTATCAAAACTGGAGCAGAAGAATGGAGCAGTTGCATATGGCAACCTATCAGCTTCTCTTTTCAGTCTGTTTAGTTATGGTTTGAAAATGAAAGGTGGATGCTGAATTATTGCCATGGGCTCTAGATTATAGATACCTCCAGGTTTGATCAATTCCCTTCAATGTGTGTAGTCTTTTTTTTTTTAAAGGCTAATGCTACCTTTTGTACTGTGTTCCATGTTCAGGTGACAAATGACGAACGGGCCGGTGTGTGCACGCGCACACTGCCCGTTCAACATTGCGGTCAAGTCATCGCGAGCCCGCCCCTCAGGGGGGCGGGTTTGCGATGATCGCAAGTACGATCTGCCTGTCCAAGATGGGCAGATCATACGTTTTTTTAATTACTTTACAACCACCACAATACTAAGGTCTTGCGATGGTTGTAAAGTGTATGGCCACCTTAAGCGCTCATACACATGGCAGTAATCCGTCATAAAGTGTACAATATGGACATATTTTCTCTGCTGGAAATAACAGGTGCAGTGTACAGCCTATAAAAAGAAAATGACGAACGGTGGCTGCACATAAATGTACACAAATCTGCTACATGCGTACATTCGTCATCTCCATCTCCCATCTGTGCAACCAATGACGTAGCTTGCGACAGATTCATGTAACAGTCAACAAGGTGTACAGTATATGAATCTGTTGCCTCAAGGTGGCCATACAACTTACGACCATTCTACAACTTTTTTTTGTCCCGACATCGCACCATCGTTCAATTTTCGTTTAAACAGCCCATCATGCACAGACCAATGTACTTTGCGATTATCGTTCCTCAGCACCACTAACTGGCCGATTTTCGTCTATCGAAAGACAAATTTTCGTTTGCACATGTGCAGTTTTCATTGTGCGACTTTTGTTTTATGAAAACTCCACTAATCCGTCGATTTTTGTGCAACCCGACGAAAATGTTCTAGGCTGCTTGAATGAAAAATTACCTGGGCAGCACTATAAGGTGTCTAAAAACATATCAATATGATCATACATTCAACATTGAAAAAGATCAAATTGAATAGATTGCTGTCAGAAGGTCATCCATTCAATCGTTTTAGTGAGCTCTCAATTTCGACTCTGCCGAGAAAACCAGCTGTGATGGAATTTTGTCTGATCAGTTGGATAAATATCTGCATGTGTCAGGATAACCGATCACAATCCAAATTGATGAAGTGATCGCTTACATTTATAACTGATTGATTGAATTTTCCGTAAATTTTTTCAGTTGATCGCAAATTATGGAACAGTACTGCACATGCGTTTGCATTTTTCGACATTGTAATCGATAATGAATCGCTTGTTTGCGATTACTCGCGCCTAAATATATCATTAGTCTCTATGTGTATGGTTACATTTTGTAGCTTTGGGTAACTTAAGACAATTACATTAACGTTCTTGAAGGTGTTTAGAGTGATATTGACATCTGGTGGTTTGTTACGTGAGTGACGTACAAGAGAATTGGCAAGGCTGTGATACATACACATAAGGCTATATTTATAAACTATTTGTAAGGCCGTTCCCTAGGGTTGACACCTTTTCTTCAAGCAAAAATAGCGCTTTCCATTCATATGTAAAAATCACAGTTGAGACTATTTTTAGTGGGGGGGGGGGGGCTAGTAGCCCCTATCCTAATTTTGGCTGCCCCTGTCTGCCTGTCATCTTGTGTCCGGGTTTCTGCTGCCATGAAACCCGGACACTTCATTCAAAGCCCGGACTGTCCGGGTGAATCCTGGACAGGTGACAACCCTACCGTTCCCCCTAGCAACATCTGTCAAAATGTGTTCCATGCACATATATGTCTAAATGAACGTTCTTTAGTGGTTTCTTTACAAAGGAATGATTTTCAAATAATGCAATATTACATGAAAACATTCGAAAGGTCATTCCACAACTCAAAAACAACTAAAGAACATTAGCTTTGCACAGAGCAAACATTCACAGATATTCGAAGGGTGAATTGTTGGGTTTGTTGCCAAAAGTTTAGGGGTTTATGGGATATATTGGGACTGTCACATTGTTTTGTAGGATTGGAGATACTTTGACAGTTTTAATCCTGGCTGCCAGCCTATGAAAAATGTCTCTCCCATGAATTTTAAATAATTATGTTCACCATGTTTATGGTGCCATTTAAACCATGCAAACTATTTGTGTTCTTAACGTATATATACAGCTCTCTATAAAGGTGGTGCAAATCAATAAAATATGGAAAAGCTAATAAGCAAATAGAAAAGGGGCAAACTGACAAATTCTGGTAAAAAAATATATACATTAATGGAACATGTGGTGAACACAGCTATTCAATCCCCTGAAACCCACAAGTTCTGGAGAGAAGATGATGAGTCAAGGATTACCGCCCACATCTATGCCATGTCGCAGCCATCACATGCACATTACATTGCACCTAGGGTTGCCACCTGTCCCGGATTCACCTGGACAGTCCGGGTTTTGAGTCCTGTGTGGTGTCTGGGTTTCAGCTGGCCTGAGACCCGGAAACAGCACATGCAGGACTTAAAAACCTGGACTGTCCGTGTGAATCAGTGACAGGTGGCATCCCTTATTGCACCGCAACACATGGTAACTCATTATCATGCGTTATGCACTTCTTTGGTGCAACTTTCAATTGAATGACTACGGCAACACATTGTAGCGTGTGTAAAAATGCACATGCAATGTCACATTGCACATGTGTGAACCCTGTTAAGTACATGCTTGGCTGTAAGCTGTTGTAGGAAAGGACAGGGTTAATACAAACACAAAGGAACAGCTGACAGTCATGAATGAGTTAATTATACCAACCATTTGCAGTCACCAGGGAGAAGCTTGTGACGAATAGGTTAATCATCCGCAGCCATAAGGGAGCTGCTAAAGAGAAGGGGTTAGTCCCAACCAGCCATCATGAAGCTGCTGGTTATGAAAGGGTTAATCATATCACTATAGAGCTGCTAGTCATTAAAATGGTTAATAATCCACATACACAAAGAAACTTCTGGTTAGCTAACACGGACACTCCGTCCGTGTTAGCTAACCAGAAGTTTCTTTGTGTATGTGGATTATGTTTGTGTTTGTGTATGCTAATTCATATCAGTAATGGTGTCCTGTAATACATTGTATTACTTAAGCAGCTGTAAGTGCCAGAGTTCTGCGCGTGCACAAAGCACCGCACCTGGGTGTGCACGAAGCACCGCACCTGCCAGGAATGGGAAGTGATACTGTCTTTTAACATTTGTATAGTGCTGAGACTTCAACGTGTCCTTAAGCTGTAAATCTCATCAGTACACATAACTTCATGGGAGTGTATGGAGAGATAACACCCCTCCCTCAAGAAAGAGTCTGAGACACGTGTACCTTTCTGACAGATCACACACAGCCCACTCTTAACAATGATCATGCCTGGCGGCTGTGGGCCTGGAATTAAGAACATTATGAAAAAAGTAATGTGATCAAGACTGAGGAGACAAGTGCATGCAAAGTGAAAATGACTGCCACTGCAAGCTGGTGCATTTACCTATGAGGAACAATAAAGGAGCATAATAGCTTGTTGCTGCCTTATTTCATATTCACATATGTATACTTAACACATGTAAGACCCTCATTAGTATACTGAGTTCTCCAGAAAAGAATCAATATACTTCAAGATAAAATAAGGCAATAGTTACATGTCAAGCAAACATTTTAAACTATGCTATGCTGAATGTAAAATGTATTTATTTATTGGTATTTTTATAGCGCTGACAATTTACACAGCACTTTACATAGTTGCACATTCACATCAGTCACTGTCCTGAAGGAGCGAAGGTCCATATCTCATATGCACACAGGGCCAATTTAGACACGAGCCAAATAACCTTCCAGCATGTTTTTGGAGTGTGGGAGAAACCACAGGGAGAACATGCAATCTCCATGCAGATAGTGTCCTGACCGGGATTTGAACCGGGTACCCCCCAGTGCTGCAAGGCAGAAGTGCTAACCATAAAATAAATGAAACATATTTGTGTTGTAATATTTCTGATGAATGTAATTAGTTTTCTCTTTAATAATGTTCATGTGATTCAGAGTGGTCCTGGCGTTTTTGACAAATAGATAAATCACTTATCTAATATCGACTTAGATGCTCTATTGAATGGTGTCTCTCCATCCCATCTACTACATGAACATGCACTAATTTTTTTCAATACACAGCAATACAGTACATGCTATTGCGATACTGCTTTGAAGCACAGTGCAACACATGGCCGCTGGGAGGTCTGTGGGGGTGCCATTGAGAATAAATGGCAATGCAACACACCAGCACACCAAGCATGCGCTGAATTGCGCTGTGAAACAATGTGCACTAAATGCACAGATACCTGCCTTGTTGTAAATGGCCCCTTAAGGAACAGCAAGATTACCGACAACATAGTTACATGGACCTGCTTCTCAACCTTTTAGTATCAGCCCTGTAACCCATATAGTCACCAGTCATAAG